ACACACACACACACACACACACACACACACACACACACACACACACAGACAGAGAGAGAGTGTGTGTCCCGTGGGGCAGAAGTGCAGTCAGAGGGTCAAATCAGTTTGGACAGCTGCTCTGTTAGCAGTGGGCCAACAACCAACAGTTGTGTAACTGCAGCAGCATCAGTCACAACAACAACAGGAGCAGCAGCATCGATAACATAAACACAAACAACAATAAGTCAGGCCTGATGTAAACAGAGGACGCTGCTCCACCTGCAGGAAGTACAACTGCTACACACGCAGTGCAACGTGCAACACAGACGACGACAACTCGACAGAGACAACAGCAACAACAACAGTGTTCCCTCCAAAAAAACAGAGAAAGAAAGAGAGAGAGAGAGAGAGAGAGAGAGAGAGAGAATATCTCCGCATGAATGACTTGTTCCTTCTTTTCGTCTGGGTGAACAAATCCCTGCAGATCGTCATTTCGAAACGACGAATGACGGAGAGGGATGAACAAGGCGGGGGGGGGGGGGGGGGGGGGGCAGAGAAATCTAGAAACAAATACAGAGACGAACAAAACAAACTAACAGGAGGGTGGAGAAGGAAGGAGGGAGTCGGAGAGTCTGAGCAAAAGCTTGAGCGAGATGTAAATCAGAATGAGAGCCATCAACCAGGAAAAGTCCCAAATCCTCAGGTGCACTGTGTGCCCGTTGTTTTTTATATATATATATATATATATAGAGATATAGCGATATAGAGATAGATATATATATATAGATCTACATACAGATCTAGATCTACATACATACATATATACACACACATACATACATACATACATACATACATGTATATATATATACATATACATATATATTTTCAGTAAATTAGAAAGACCTTTGTAACCAACAGCTACAAATATCGAACATGAAAAAATTAGCTTAATATCCCCATTTATGGTGTTGTGTCTTCAGATCTTTGGCTGAGAAACGTACCAGAGATCCGAAGCCGACAGTCCAGAAGTGCTCGTTTCGAACCTCCAGCACTCCTTCCAGAGTCGACACCTGATTGGACACAGAGAGGAGCAATTAACCAATCACAATCAAGAGGTCTTAAAGGTAAAATGCTGTCAAAATGAAGCCAAAATAAAGTTGAATTTGAATAACATTTGGTTTCCAGTCTGACGAAGGATGAGATTTATATTCCTTTCTGGCTTTCATTTAACTATTCATCGGCTGAAAATTAGATCATTTGACAAAGAAATGAAACAGATTTCTTGATCTTCTATAAACCTGAAATCAATCCCCTCACCTCTCTGAGCAGTTTGTCCAGCTGGCCGGTGATGTGCGACGGCGTCGTCTGTGAATGGGAGACGACACAGACGAGTTACGACCACGCTTCCTGGTGCGGGACTGTGACTACGACACGAGCGGAGAAAGGGTCGTTCGTCTTACCTGCAGCAGCACTTTGCCGCTGTAGACGCTCATGGGATACATGGTGCCGAACGTCATGAGCGCGATGGCGACCGCCGACGCCGTGTCCACCGCATTATAGTTACTGAGCACACACACACACACACACACACACACACACACACACAATAACTAGTGAATATCTACGACATCAAATAAAATATTCTAACATTTTTAACATATTATAAGACCTTTAAGTCTTACTAGATTTTTCGGGTGATAGCGTTTTGTAATAATAAGGATGTCTGGCTCTGTTAGTGGTCTTTGAGGTTTGGTATTCAAGAAGAATACCGACTTTTGATCCTTCTTCTTTGACACACAAAAAAAGCCAGTTTCTCATTTTGATTTTTGAGAAAAAAATGTGAATTTTTTCTGATGTTCTGGAAGCTTTTGGTCGTATCACATGATCACATTTTAAGGATTTCTCGTCTGTGTTGGCGAAAAATCTGATTAACGTTAGGCAATATGATAGAAATCTCCCAAACAGCTGATAAAAGATGATGAGATTGTTTTCTCAAGTGTTGTGTCCGAGGACAGGAATGAACTTTGAAGCTCAGATTTTAAACCAAAGTAGAGAAGAAATCCTCAAAATGCTCAGAAACAAAATAGAAATTGAAACATGACAACATGGCAAACTCCATCTGCAGAGGAAGATCATGTGACATTATAAAATCAAACCGCTAAAGATGGTTTTAACTCCTTTTTATTAAGATCTGTCCGTTGTCCACATAATTATGGAAAGATATTGTGAATGTTGAACAGAACCTGTTTTATCATCACCACCCTTAATGATTAAAGTCACGACACTTTTGTCATCTCATTTCCTGTCCCGTCTGTGAGTCGTTTCCCCTCTGGAGTGTTTTTACATCAGGACACGTTTTAGGTTCAGTGCAGATAAAGATCAGGGCAGTTTAAAGCAGCGAGAGGGCGTTTCCAGCAGCCCAGGACACAATCCCTGGTTTTAATATGCTGCTGGTGAATTTACCAGAGAGAGAGCGAGAGCGAGAGCGAGAGAGAGAGAGATGAGTTCTTACTTGATTTCTATGAGCATGTAGGTGATGCAGATCGACAGAGCTCCCGCCATGTTGATCAGGACAAACGGGTTCATCCGAGGCAGCAGCACTCTGCTCAGACCTGGAATGATGCCACACAAACTGTACACACAAACAAACCAAAACAAACAGGAACAGGATTAGTGCACATGATCACCTCCAGATTTTCCCACTTAATCACCTAAAATGAATGCCGTCTAATACAACAGTCATGCACGGAGTCCTCCCTTCATGAAGGATATAACGTTAAAGTGTTAGAAGTTCTCCACTGAAGTCTATTATTTCACACATTTGTTTTTAATGTAAATGCTTGGACAGTTTCTGTACTAACCTACATACGGCAAACATAAATAATAACGGAGGTCGATTCATATTTGAACTAAACACCAGCTTCTCCTCCGTCTCCTCCCTCCTTTCTAAAGAGGACCGAGTACGTTTCGTCCTCCTCTCTAAGCTGTAGCCACCGCGTGTGTATGTTGGTCTCACGAATTAGACCTTTAACCCGATCACACTGTCATAATGGACTTTGGGGGACTTGAACTGGAGTTGATGGGATCATCGTTGTTTTGTTTCATGTCATGTTTGTCTAAGATAGCTGAGAACAAACCTCGTCTACAAACACTCAGAGTGAAGGAAGCTGCACAGTGCAGACGGAGAAGTCTTTATAAAAACACTTTATCCTGACGGGGTGTATTTGACACCGGACGTCGACACAATTTGTATGATTGTCGAGTAGCACCTGCAGAGCTGCTAAATATGAAGAGTCTTGATCAAAGGCACATCTGCAGAAAGTGACGTATCTCATGTGGTTTCATGCGGTCTGATGCGATGCAGCACATGAAGACGTGACGTAGCATCCGGTGACACAGCGAGACGACAGCTGCATGGTCTGGATGAGATGCAGATTTAATCAGTGGGGCTTGACTGCTGTTAGTTTAACTGGACGAGGTCAATAAGGACACGCATCAATAACTCCTCTTTCATCAACGAGGCTGTAAAACATCGTTTAACGAGCTGAAATAAAGTCCTGGAAGAGAAGTTCTTTAACTTCTATGAAACAGTAAAATATTCTCTTTATCTAGATTAATGTAGTTGTGTTGAACAAAGAAATCAGACGAATACGAATGTATTCAGACTTCTGCAATTCTAGAGAAGCATCGGCTTGAAAAATACAAATTTATAACTTCAAGTCTGGATTATAAACCCGAGGTATGGAGTTTGTCAGACAGATGTGGTAAACATCCACTTGCTTGCTAATATTTTGGTGGACATTTCTCTGAAAGAGAAAGATGACATCCCCATTCTTCATCCCGTCTGCAAAGCCATGATAGACTTCCACCGGGGAAACAGCCAACACATTCTCTTACTTTATATTTGAGAAGCAAAGCCTGACAATTACTTATGTTGTAAAAGAACAACGAAGATATTCCTACTTGCTCAAATTGCCCTTTCTGACATGAGTAATGAGTCCGAGGTTTGGCCTCAAACCTTCAGCCGATTCCCCCAAAAACTCTAAACTGAGCCGACCCCGAACGCTCTCTGTGTAACACACCCCGGCCCGGCGTTCCTGGAACCGATTAACGGGTCAATGAACGCGACTCCGGGCGAATCGGCCCGGTGCCGCGTGTCAGATTGAATTTCCAATACGTCAAAGGGCAGCGCTCTGAAGCCGCCGCGGCCCGATGGCGCCGAGCGCTGTCACAAACATGGAGAGGAGCGCGGCGGCTGGGCGCCGCAAGGTGTTTGTCATTAGATAACGTTTAAAAAGCAAAACGCTGACATGGATGTCAACACGTAATTAATGTCAAACACGTCATTCAGAGAGTCACGTGCTCGCCGGGGGCAGGACTTCCAAAAAACTGAAGAACTGGAGAGGAGGAAGAAGGAAAGTGAATATCTGTGTGTGTGTGTGTGTGTGAGAGGAACGTTTTTCACGTAACTGTAAGATCGTCCAGCTCACTTTTAATTAGGGAATCTGAGTCTCGGTAAGACGGACAGCAGAGACAGACGGTTGGGATGACGTCCTCAGAGACAGACGGTGAATAATGGAAGGACTGCCGAGACTGTACGACAGCAGAAATATATACGAGCACAGATTGTGATTCACCGCTGGACGCTCTGTGTTCATATCAAACCCACAGAGTCAGTCAGTAGCACAGAGCGTCTGTCTGGAGTCCTCAAACTGAGCAATGACTCACAACACTTGAGCCACTGGGCTGGCCTCCACAGATTTAAGATGCTTTAGTCTTTCCCTGCAGGAATTTAGATTCTTGCAGAACATACAGTTCCATGTTTGGAACATTCATGCATTTGTATTTTTTAATAACTGGCTTCTGACATACAGTGGGTACAGAAAGTATTCAGACCTTTAAATTTTTCACTGTTTCATTGCAGCCATTTGCTAAAATCAAAAAAGTTCATTTTATTTCTCATTAATGTACACTCAGCACCCCATCTTGACAGAAAAAAACAGAAATGTAGAAATTTTTGCAAATTTATTAAAAAAGAAAAACTGAAATATCACATGG